TAAGTAACAGAACAACTTTTCAAGTGAAAGCACATTTGCCTCATACCAGTACTATAAGGAAGATTCAGGTAATTGCACTCAATTTAAAGATGAGAAACTTTTAAAAAAAACTGGGACCAATTCTTTCCTGAAAGCACCTAAGTACTATGTGGAGGATCTAGATTCAAATTCTAGTCTATACTGTTCTGTTTTCCTTAAATGGCTATAGCATGCTTAGCACTACTCATTTTTACTTTTGATGATAACTTAGTTTTTCTAAAATAATATCCTAAGAGTTAAATAACATTTACTTCATAGGATTTAACAGAAATACTGAAAAAATCAGCTCTACATTATCTTCTTTTAAAGATTTATTTATTTATTTATTTATTGAAAGGGAGAGTGAGAGAGAGGCAGAGGGAGAGACAGAGATGCAGTCATTTCCATCCACTGGTCTTTCATCCGCTGGTTCACTCTCCAAATCGTCACAATGGCCGGAGCTGGGCCGACCTGAAGCCAGGATCTTGGAACTTCTTCCAGGTCTCCCATGTGGGTGCAGAGGCCAAAGAACTTAGATCATCCTCTGCTGCTTTTCCAGGCCACAGCAGAGAACAAGATCGTAAGTGGAGCAGCTGGGACTCGAACTGGCACCCATATTGGATGTCGGCACTGCATGCAATGGCTTTACCCACTGCCACAGCGCTGGCCCCAACATTACCTTTAGCTATAAATCTGAAATTGAATTGAGCATTTACATATATAATAAGAAAATTATGAGCCTTTTACATACATTATCACATAAAACAATCTTCTGAGGTTGTGACATAATGTATTTTTTTTTGTTTTTCTTCATTGAGAAAATTAAGACACAAATAAATTAAGAACATTTCCTATGTTTGTTTGAGTACAAATTAAACTTCCATAATTTGAGGTCAAAATCTAGTGTTTAGCCACTGTGCTAATGCTTCCTTTATATAAAATCACTTGCTCAATTTAGAAAACTTTAAAGATAGTATAAAGAATAAAATGCATCTAGATTCAACTATGATATTCAATACAATTGAAAGACAATAACAATGGGATATACCATTTAATGTTTTTAAAAATCTTAAGACTTGGTTTCCATGTTGACTTTATGCTGATGTGCTGTCTTTTCTGCTTTGAAGTATTTGAATAGAATGTGCTGTTTTAAAAAGATTGCTTGTTTATTAAAAGGAAGGCACTGTGTAAACATTAACGTTTCTTTCCAAAACCTGATCTTATAGAATAGGCTAAAAATAAATTACCTTTTATTTAAAGCAAAAACTGTACTTGACAGTTAATCTGTGCTCTCATTTCTTGGAACTTTACGGAAGTGAGAATTCAATAGAAATAACTGAACGAAATTCAAAAAAAGCATTCTTTCATATTCCAGTGGCATGAAACTTGGAGATAAGTGTTCCAAATTCCAGGCCAGTTGCTCTCAAAGTTTGTCAAATGTCTATGTGAAAGCAGGTCATTTGCACTGAACCACTGCCACCGTATCAGAGTAAAACATATTTCTGGTGGAAATGTAAATGATTGGACCCTGAACTCTTTCATGATATGTTTGGCATTATTGGAAACATGAGGTTATTGTTTGTCTTATGCTAAAAATAAGAACCATGAACACAGGTTGACCTCTGTTTACCACCTGGAATCTGTTCTTCTGTGGGTGAGAAAAGGCCTTCTTAGTTTGAGTTGGAGACTGAACCTCTAGCTCTAATCTGCATAGCAGAGCTGAGTTTGTAAATGGTAAACTAAATATACAGAAAACAGAAACAGATATATTCATAACAGGGCATGTGTAAAGAAAAGGAAACATTACAGATGATTTTTGCTTCAAATCATATATTTTATATTGTGTCTCTGCTGTTAAGTCATTCTAGGTAAATGTTAATTCTTTTCATTAATAGTAAGATATTGAGGACTAAGAATATTATGCATGTCTTTAAGAAATAAGTGCATTCTCTCATAGACATTTAGAAGGGTATTCATTTTTCCCAATCCTCCAAATGCTGTCAACTCAATTTCCATAATCTCTATGGATAACTCTTTTCTGATTTCTTTAAACCTATAGTGCTGACTTGACCATGTTATCTACTTTCCAAAGTTACTCCGTGTGACCACACCATTAATGTTTTATTGTTGCTTGCATACAGCTAGGGCCAAGCCTCTGATCTTCAATGTAGCAGTGTGGATCAACTTTTGGTTTTTCTGTCACTGAGAGGAATGTAGGAGGGTGGTATTTGCCTGAATGCTAAGTAGATGGATCCAGGCTTTCGACACTCCCTTCTCTTTTTCCACTGGGCCAATCAAAGGATAGCTAAATCCACAAATTCAAGTTTACACTTAGGGTGTGTAGAAGGCAATTCTGTAGATTTATATGCTCTCCAAATCATGAAATCTAAACAAACAAAAGTTGTAGTATAAATCTCAATATAATGACTTTGCTCTTTAATGATGTCTCTTATGAATTTAATTCTTAAACGTTTCTGGGTTTGTGCATTTCTGGGCTTGATACCATGTGACTCTTTACTCTCATGATCATTTAGATGCTTGTCTACTATCTTATCTGCTACTCATAACTTTCAGGTAGACATTGAGAGAGATGGGAATGTGCTCAATACGGTCATTTATAAACTTTATTATATTGCACTCATGATTGCATGTGTGATAATCCCACAGGGATAACCAGATTGGTTTTTTTTTTTTTTTTTTGATACCTGGCTTGCTTTTCTGCAGGTATATTAAATAATATGCACCACATTCTCAGAAGGAATGACAATGCTGTGCAGCAGTATGTACAAATGACCTAGTAGAAAATGTACAAATTACTGCACTAGTGTGGAGAAGAAGAGAGTATCCTAGCTGAAAAAATGTGTATTCCACACTGGAATTTTCTTATGTAAATAACCTCTTAAAATCACAATTCTATAATAAGCAGCCATTTGAACTTTTACCAACCATTTAAACTTTGCTGAAGTCCTTATGACTTCATGAATTTTCTTCATATATATTAACAAGATTTTTAGATTAAAAGATAATTAGTAGCCATTGCATCCCTAATATATGTTGATAGATCTAAATTAAAACTCCTTAACCCTTTATGTCCCATCATTCTGCATATAGGACACCCACAAAGACTATATTGAACAATAAATATACCACTTATAGTAACTTGAAATAAATATTAGGTCATTGAAATATCAACATAATTTAGAACCTAAGACTTAATGAATTGAAGTAGATAATTATTATTTGTTCTTCTGAATTATAGGAATCCTGAAACAAGTGAGGAATTAGTAGAAACTCAGAGAAGAGATAAAGAATAAAAAAGGATTACTTCAAATACTCTTTGACCCAGTAGCTGGATTAGAGTTCATCCACCTGAAGTACATGCTAAGCCCTGATTTCAGATGCAGTTAAAGAATTATCAGAGCAGACAAAGAATCTATAGGTAGAACAAAAGCAGCATTGTGCAGAAGATATCTGGAAGCCCCATTGCTGTGGTCCATTTCTGCACTATTACTTTTAATAGCTGAGGTCAGCCTGTGCCCTAGGCACTACATTAAGGTCTAAGCATTCAAGAATCTAAAGACTTAGACTTATTTCTATTTTCACTTTCTTCCGTGGCATAATGCAAATGGTTCTGTAACAAAACTGGTGAAAGTTTAATTGATACATTTGACATGCTTGAATTCCTACCTAGGTGGTTGATGCCTTCAGCTTGAGATTTTGACTTCTGTAAAAATACAGACTCCTCTGGGAGAAAATATGGCTTTCGTTTGGGTGCTTTTGATAATATGCTTTTATATATATGGTGTCACCATGGACATCAAGAGGGCTGAAAGAGGATTCAAGAGTAAAAGAACCCAGAAAGGAGAGCTAAGGGTGAGGGTTGTCCTCTTTAGATTTCCTTGTCAGAAATTTCTTCTTAATTATCCCCTTAACGAGAGGTGATACTATGGAGAAGCATTAGTTTCACTCATCAGGCTCCCCTGAAAAGCTTTTAATTCCTTTTACCAAAAGAAAAATTACAACCTTAGTGTCAAGTCAATAACTGATATGCATGGCTATAAAGCTACCTTATATGACAAGGGTAAATCTTTCAGGTAAAACCTGCTTCCCATTCAAGATGGGGTTACAGCTGCAATAACATTTACAGAATTTACGAGTTGAACTCCGGAAGAAAAAGACTTCTCAAGGGAGGAATTTCGGCCTAACCTAAATGTCCAGAACCCAGTGGGGACTGTGACTTTATGTGTTAGTTGCTGTAAGGTTCAAAGATGATAAAAGGGACAAGTGAGTTTGAGTCATTCGAGTGAAAATGTTTGTGGTCAGTGTTGAGGGGGACGGAATTTACAGAAATGGGAACCGCTTACTTTTTAAATATCTCTTAAGCATATCAGATCAATCAGTCAAGCATATTTATTATCATCATCTAATTTTATTAGCACATCATCTAATTTTATTAGCACAATTACCCCAAAATTTATCTGTACTATGATTATGTGACAGTAACATAGGTGAACATGAGAAACCCAAGGGAGATCCTTATGTGAAATTGAATATGAGCAACCCATATCTTCACATCACTGACAAACTTTCAGTGCTTCCTGTGGAGGTGCGTGGTTCAGCTCCAGCCACATGGCTGGTGCTAGAGACTTGGTGAATCCTTAAGGAATCAAAGAGTGACTGGATTTCTAGCTTGCAAAAATTGTACCAAAATATCAGTGGCTTTGTCTTAAGTGGGTTTAAATCGTGCTGCCTTAGCATCCACTTGTAGGACTGAGGTCAACTGTTTGAAACTTGATTTTTCTTCATCACCTTTGACCTAGTCAAAACATCTCCTCCTGGGTAATTGTGATAGAATCCACTTGTTTCTTATCCCCATAACATGCACAGTGCACTCCACAGCTGATAAAAATAATTAAATCTAATGGTCAACACCAGAGTTCTATAAATAAGTTCTCCCTTTCTCTTGTGTTTTTGTAAACTAGGCAATCCCCAATCCCCACAGGAAAACCCAAGAGAGCCAATCCACAGATCTTTATAAAGGAGAAGTCCTTAGATCCTCTGTCTCCTTGACCTTCCCTCTGAACTCCCTGCAGCCAGCTGCCCAACTGCCCATCAGCTCCCCTAACTTCTCTGGGATCTGTAAGTAACAAGTTTCTGCTATTTTATGCATTTGTGTTTCACCTCCTGCTGTGTCTCACTTGACCCACACACCCAAACTGAACCGACCCCCACTCTCATTAGGGCACTCCTGGCAGTGGCTGTCTTGGCTTATGGCCACTCAAGAGCAACCTGAAGACTGGGGTAAAATGGAATCACAACACAAAAATAGAGGAATCTCTCAAAGAGCGTGGCTTGGTGATTCAAGGGGAGGCAAGAGAATTAACAAAGGAGAGGGAGTTTTCAGTGTAGACATTCATTTCAAGAGAGAAAGATTCCCATACATTCTTTTATCTTTAGACCATCTGTATTTACAATTATTTAAATTTTTTAAGATTTATTTATTTAGTTGGAAGGTGGAGTTAGAGGGAGAGAGGGAGAGGTGTTCCATTAGCTGGTTCATTCCCCAAATGGCTACAAGCGCTGGAGCTGGGCTGATCCAAAGTCAGGAACTTCTTACAGGTCTCCCACATGGGTGCAGAGGCCCAAAGATTTGGGCCATCCTGTACTGCTTTCCCTGGGCCGTAGCAGAGATCTGGATTGGAAATGGATGACCTGGGACATCTACCAGCACCACATGGGATGGTGGCACTGCAGGCTGCAGGTGGCTTTACTTGCTATACCACAGTGCTGGCCCATTACTCTTCAGACTAATACATCTTCCATATACCTACAATAAACCACAATACATGCTAAGCATCTCCAATGGAAAATAAATACAAAGTAGCTCTGTCTTCAAAGTTTACATTTGCTTGGGAGTAATTGTCATGTGTGGGGAGCAACTGGGAGCAACTCAGACTAGACTAAGTTACTGGAATTAAGACTTATTCTATGCATCTGCTCTCCCACAATATGGCGCTGGGAGAGGAGGAAACAGCTTCTACACAGCTGCCTCCAGTTCAACCAATAAACAGCAGGACCTGCTCCTGATTGGAGGAGAGCAGCGTACTCGGCGTGTGGGTAGCAGAGTTGGGATTGGTGGAAGAGGACTATAAAGGAGGAGAGAGACAACATGCACCAGGAACATCTAAGGGGAACATCTATCTGAAGGAACACCTGAGCAGCCCCCGAGAGAGCCTGCCGGCGGTGTGCCGCTCCCCCGCGGAAGTGGGGAAAGTGGCAGTGGGAACCGCCCTTCCACGGAGGTGGAAGGGACGGTAGCCAACCCGGGAAGAACCAGCAGCAAACCCGGGGAGGGCCGAGCAGACAAAAGAGCAGCGCAGGGTCCTGTGTCGTTCCTCCACGAAGACGGGGAGCGACAGTCATGGAAGCAAATAGTTATTTAGGACATCAGTTCCTTTTAGAGAGTGGCAGAATACATTTAAAAGTATAATATTTAATATTATTTGATAATCCCATAACTGGGTGAGTACACTGCTTATTCTAAATTTCTTCCTGGTACTGTAATCTTATAATCCATGATCAATATGCACCATGAACCAAAAGATCATTGGGAATTAAATGTGCTTATTAACATACATGTGGTTATGTGCACTGAGTTGTCAGAATTCTTTCAAACTGACAAAATTCGATATAATTTTTGCCATGCAATGTGCTGCATTCTTCATTTTTTTTAGTGATTTTAAAATGCTGCTGGGATCCAGACTTCATATCCTCACAGAAAAGATGATGTACTTTTCCAAACTGAGTGGCATAACTTTCTTTTTCCTATGGGGGACCCAAAATGAATTTTTGAATGTCAGTGTGGCATTTAACATTTGAGAACCACATCTGATGAGTCTATTAGACCTTTACAAGTCCACTTCCTAGGGCCTTTTTCAGAGGAAAGTGACAGACATTTTGCACTAGGCAAGGAGGAAGCATGAACTCTCACAGAGGAGGGAGTGCTTAAATTACAGGCCTTAAATAAGAAGGGATGGGGAGAGAAAGGCAGTGAAAAAGGCTTATCCTGTTAGTAACCCCATGCCAACAAAGGCAAGGTGTGTTGGAGTTGATGGTGGAAGCCCCATGCAAATTAACAAGATGGGAGAAATTGGAACTTTTACTTGTGGGTGGCTTGATCTGGAAGCCTGCTTTCCTTATTCTTCACACACAATTTCCTGAAGTAAAAGGATTAGGAAAAGTACACCACATTCCTTCAGTCTGCTTTCATGCAAATTTATAGCATGACTGTTTATTTATAGAGAAATAACAAAAGCCTTTGCAAGCACCATTCTTCCTAAATAACATTTCCCCAACTATTATTGAAAAAAGTACTGAATAGACTTTTTAAAAAGAATTTCGTTTTGTTCTTTCCTATGGAAACAATCATTTACACCTGTCATGAGGGTTCAACAAGATATAAATGGAACAAAGAAGGAGGGACCAGAACTTAAATAAAATGGAGGTGGAAAAGATGCTGCAGGTGCTGACCTAACTACAGGTGTGGAGGGTGGTATATATTTTGTGTAAGTGAAAAACACAGTACATCAGAATTATTCTCTGGCTATTGTCCTCTGAAAATATTAACCGCAAGTTCAGAAGGAAACGCTGATGTATAGTACTCTGATTTGTAACCCAATGTGCACAATATTAAATGTGCAGGAAGATGGGGTGGGGCATTAATCGTGTTATTAGGGGCTCAAGCTATAATGATTTTCCTGCACAGGATTAAGCATTTGTGACTTTAATTGGCAAAATTATGGTAAAGGAGAAATTCAAGCCGGTCACCAGAACAGGAAATTAGAAGCAGGGACAAAAGACCAGTTAAAGAGTTACACACACACACACACATACGATTTAAATAATAAGATCCTTAAAATTCAAGAGGTGTCAGAAGAAGAAATGTGACTAAGTTCCAAACGAGGCATATAGACAGATTTATGTAATGGACTAGGGGCAGAGAGAGGTTTGTTTTTAGCTATTATAGCCAGTGCCATTTGAACTCTGTTTTCCCTGTAACCTGTAATTATAACATAATACCAAATACTGCTTTATAAGTCTGAAGATGGTCTATGGATGCCCAGAAGAAGTGACCATCTCTATCTGCAATTCAGGAGTGATATTTGTGTTTCTGAAATTAGGAGATGTATTTAGAACAAAAGAACACAGAGTTGAGATGTGTAGCTTTGAGTAGGAGGAAATGTTTGAAGCTTGATCTACAACTCACTCTAGCAGGATGCAAGGGAAGCAAGAAGAAGGAATTATATAAAATTCATGCTAAGGAGTATAGGATCCTATAAGTACTGGAAATCTAAAAACATCTTTAACCTGAGAACAGTCAGAATCAGATTAACTTGAAGGAAAATAATTTCAGTCACAATATTTGAGTACTCCATAATATAGTGTGATACTGGAAAAGTTTATTGACTTATACAACATATACAAAGGGACTTTGGAAAGTTTGTAAAAAAGAGGAATTAAAGGAAATTTATTTTAGTACAAAAATTTTTGAAATCTAGCCTTTTAAAAAATATTTGAGAGGTAGTTAGACAGTGAGAGGGAGAGACAGAGAAAGGTCTTCCTTCCATTGGTGCACTCCCCAAATGGCCACAATGGCCAGAGCTGTGCCGATCCAAAGCCAGGAGGCAGGTGCTTCTTCCTGGTCTCCCATGCGGGTGCAGGGGTGTAAGCACTTGGGCCATCTTCTACTGCTTTTCCAGGCCACTGCAGAGAGCTGGCTTAGAAGAGGAGCAGCTGGGACTAGACCCAGCACCCATACGGGATGCCGGCGCCGCAGGCAGAGGATTAACCTGTGCCATTGCACCGGCCCCGGAAATCTACCCTTAACGTTTACATTGTTACACATTTTCAATGAGCTTCCTGAAGACTTCTTCTATTCATGGATTTCAAACTTTTGCACTAATCTTTTTTTTTAACTTTTTAACTTTTATTTAATAAATATAAATTTCCAAAGTACAGCTTATGGATTACAATGGCTTCCCCACCATAACGTCCCTCCCACCCACAACCCTCCCCTTTCCCACTCCCTCTCTCCTTCCATTCACATCAAGATTCATTTTCAATTCTCTTTATATACAGAAGATCAGTTTAGCATACATTAAGTAAAGATTTCAACAGTTTGCTCCCACACAGAAACATAAAGTGAAAAATACTGTTTGAGTACTAGTTATAGCATTAAATCTCAATGTACAGCACACTAAGGACAAGGATCCTACATGAGGAGTATGTGCACAGTGACTCCTGTTGTCTTAACAAATTGACACTCTTGTTTATGGCATCAGTAATCACCCTAGACTCTTGTTATGAGTTGCCAAGGCTATGGAAGCACCCTGAGTAATGAATTTTCCATGAATTTTCAGAAGTGCCTTCATGGATTACAAGAAAGGAAAACATTTTCTGGAAAATCCAATGATAAACGAAGGCATAGAGATGGGGTCAATGGATGAGAAGCTTAGTTTGGTAAGAAGGGCAGGTCATTCTGGGAAAGGATGGAGACCAAAGAAAAGGTTATGAGAATTATAATGAAAGCAACATTTGCTTCTTGTTGGTTTCTATTTAGTATTCATTTCAGCCCAAGAACTATGTAATGCTCCCAAAGGTGGTTCTGACTTATTCGGACAGTTACTTCATGAGATAAAAATCGTGTTCTCTGATTTTTGGGTATGAAAACCAACCCACAGAACTTAAGTAAGGATCAGGAATAGTATTCAATGAAAGATTTACTTGATTTCTAATCTGATGTTAGTAGGAACTAAATTGGAAATATAATTTTGTTGCAGAAGTAGAGTCAACTCTTATAAATGGGATAAGCCACATAACAGCCATTATCACTAAAGCGGGAGATGTTAACCATACCATTTTAAAGAGACTTCTGTTACAAGGGTTAACTTGACACTCAGGTGAGAGAATAAAATGAACATTACTTGCTAAGCCACTTCTGCAGACTGAGACTTCAGATCTGAATACTGGTCTTCTTAGAAAACATATTCTTCTAGGTACCAAAAGCACACTCTACAAGAATGCTCAGAAGACTTAGTTTCATTTGCTTGTTTAGATATAAGCACAGACCAGCGTTAAGA